AACACTCTTCAAGGGCAGCCCCATGTAGAGCGCGTTACTTATGAGTCATGACTCATTATATTATTCCTTAAGGGGAAAATTTGTTTGGTACCCGTCGTTTCTGGTACTCATTGCGCCCCCCCCGGAACCAATTAACGATAAGTACCACTATACATTTTTTTTGAAGACTGCTCTTCAGCTAATTCTTTCCTCCGGACCCTCTCTTAGACTCTGCAGAAGGAGATCCAAGGTCACCAGCCGCGGATCAACGACATTGTGGGGAGGTGGCAGGGGCTGGCGTGCAGCGGTCTGGAGGCGGAGCTTCAGGGCCGAGTCGAGACGCTAGAGGAGATATGGCGGGAGCTGCAAGACCAGGTGGACCAGAGGCGCGGGCGGCTGGAGAAAGCCCAAATGGCCCAGCAGTTTTACTTCGACGTCGCCGAAGCCGAGGCCTGGATGGGTGAACAGGAGTTGCACATGATGTCAGAGGAGAAGGCGAAAGTAAGTCTCCCAACTAAGAATGAGGACTGCTTGTTTCAATGAAAAGTTTATAGTTTAATGGTTGGCTTTAATTTATTTGCGTTTCAATATACATGTGTAGATACATTTTTCAGACTAAGCCGCTCAGAGTTACTCTGTGGTAAGACGGAAGGCCAATAAAATGTATAAATAAATAAATAAAAATAGGTAGTCCTCAACTTAAGACCACCCACTTTGTGACTGAAGTTCCAACAGACCCCCTAAAAGTTACTTAGGTCCCGGCTTCTAAGTTCTGACAGCTACTCGGCCCCTATGGTCACATGACCACATTTGGTGCTCTCGGCAACCAATATGCATTTAACAATTCTTTATAAGTGCCCTGCAGTCATATAAACCAAATGATTATTTCAGGGAATCACGGAATGTGTGTGTGTGTGTGTGTGTGTGTGTGTGTGTGTGTGTGTGTGTGTGTGTCATAAAAGCAGACACGATGATCTCCTTTATGACTGTCCCAACTTAGGACATAGTGAGAAGGCCATAAGTAGAGGATTACCTATATCTCTTTAAAAAAAATACACTTGGAAGAGGTAGAAAAGTTACAATTAATTGCATAGCACTTAAAAAAAGAGAGAAACAAAAACTCTTGCAAAAGAAGGGCAGGAGAAAAAAAAATAACAAGTAGAAGTTTATCAAGATACCCAACCTAGAATTTAAAACCAGTGGGATGACTTCCTTCAGAAGCGGTGGGTGCTCCCACACTGGACATTTGCAAGAAGAAGCTGGAGAGCCGTTTCCATTCCATTCCCTGGACTCCATTGTTTATTTTTCTGCCCAAGCTTGTCCCTCCTGCCTTCCAGGAATTTAAAAAACAACAACAACCCTGTGGTTTTCTTTTCTTCAGGATGAGCTGATTGCTCAGGCCATGGTCAAGAAACATTTGGGGATGGAGCAGGCTCTGGAAGATTATGCCCAGACTGTCCATCAACTCTCTGTGCAGAGCCGGGACATGGTGAATAACAACCACCCTGAAAGGTAAGGCTTCCCTGCCTTTAGTTTTTACATGTGGATGGATAAAGCACCTTTCTTCACCTAGCTTATAAAACTAAAATCTTATAAAACTTGTTTGTTGTGATTGAAGGAAAGCTACTTATAGCAAGAGCCCTTAGACTTATATGCCGCTTCACAGTGCTTTTACAGCCCTCTCTGAGCGGTTTACAGAGCCAGCCTCTTGCCCCACAACAATCCGGGTCCTCATTTGACCCACCTCGGAAGGACGGAAGTCTGAGTCAACCTTGAGCTGGTCAGGATCGAACTGCTGGCAGTGGGCAGAGCTTGCAATACTGCATTCTAAAAGGAAGGAAGGGTGGAAGGAAAGGAAGGAAGGAAGGAAGGAAGGAAGGAAGGAAGGAAGGAAGGAAGGAAGGAAGGAAGGAAGGATGGATGGAAAATAGCAACAGCACTTAGACTTATATACCGCTTTACAGCCCTCTCTAAGCAGTTTACAGAATCAGCATATTTGCCCCCAACAATCTGGGTCCTCATTTTATCCACCTTGGAAGGACAGAAGGCTGAGTCAACCTTGAGCCTGGCGACATTCGAACTGCCAAATTGCAGCCAGCAGTCAGCAGAAGGAGCTTGCAGTGGTGCCTTCTAACCACTGCGCCACCACGGCTCACCCACCACTTACAGATAGTCCTCAACTTACGACCACAATGAGCAAAAAAATTATGTTGCAAAGTGAGAAATTCGTTGTGACTTTTGTCCCATTTTACAACTTTTCTCGCCACATTTGTTAAGTAAATCACTGCAGTTGTTAAATGAGTTACACGGTTGTTAAGCGAATCTGGCTTTCCCGTTGATTTTGCTTGTCGGAAGGTCGTAAAGAGGGGGTCACCTGACACACACACACCCCCGGATATTGCAAGCGTTATAAATGTGAGTCTGTTGTCCTGCATCCAAATGTAAATCACGTGACCATGGGGATGCTGCAACGATCATGTGAAAAATGGTCATAAGTCACTTTTTTCAGTGCCACTGTAACTTCGAATGGTCACTAAGTGACGTATTGTAAGTCAAAGACTACCTGTATTCATTTTATTCATTAATAGCGCCTCCTTCGAGTGGTGCGATGGCCTAGAGGTGGGTTTCTCGCCTCACAATCAGGAGGCTGTGAGTTCAATCCTAGGTGGAGACAGATATTTCTGTATCTGGGCACGATGAAAATATAGCTGCTGAACAAAACTCCGCATTGGTGACAGGAAGGGCATTTGGCCATTAAAACGCTCTTCTAACTCCATTCAATTACCCAGACTCCACCCCCCCCAATGGATTGTGGGGTCGTTAAAAGATGGTGATTAATAGTGTCTCCTTTCCTTTTCCTTGACTTTCAGTGAGAGGATCAATCTTCGGCAAGGCCAAGTGGACAAGCTCTATGCCAGCTTGAAGGATCTGGCAGAAGAGCGTCGGGCCAAACTGCAGGAGCATCTTCGTCTCTGCCAGCTGAAGCGGGAAGTGGATGACTTAGAGCAATGGATCTCAGAACGGGAAGTGGTGGCGGCCTCCCACGAACTTGGGCAAGATTATGAACACGTTACGGTGAGTCTCACCCTCATCTGGAGTGCCAGGAAGAAATCCCTCAAAGCTCATATGGTTAACAAAAATTAAAAGTATGCCCCCCCCCAAAAAAACACCCTGTTCATCTGCAAATTAGAAGGTTACTCCTATCTTAGGCTATAGAATGACCTGTTGGCCCCATATTGTCAGTTCCAAGTTTGGTCTACTCTGGATCTGTGTTTCCCAACTTCAGTAACTCTTAAG